CTCGAAACTATTTATATACGCTTTTTTTTAGACGAAGAAATTGCTTTTATTTTTGCGAAGAAATTTCACCATGTCAACATCCAACTTTTCTATCGCAGAAATTGCTAATAATTTGATCCCAAAATTAAACAAGAATAGAATCTTTCCTCCTTTCTACAATAAGCCTGAAGAACTCATTCCTTCTCTTAGCACTACTAACTCACGTAAGCCAAGAAGGTCCCCAAATAGTTTTCTTCTCTTTCGAAAGAATATTCACGAAGAGATTAAACGTATTGGAGTTGGATGTAACATGCGTGTTATTAGTCGTATCGCAGGAGTTCTTTGGCATAACGCTTCTCTTGATGAGAAGCAATTTTATGACGATTTAGTATGTGGATAACTTAAACTTACTACGCAACTTTTCACGTGGAATTAAGATATTTAATAGATATATTAAAGAATTCTAAATATTTATTCATTTTACAGGCACAACGTTGTAATGATCTTCACATTCAGCGTTATCAACCAAAAATTAAGCATGAGTCAGAGATTCGTAAAAGACCATTAAAATGCAAATATGATCCCTATGAAGTGGTTTCTATTCCTTCTCACATTTCATCCAGTCAATTAAGATTACAACAGGAACCTGAGCCTGTTATTGGTCAATATTCGAGACCGAACTCTCTTCCACTACTTAACCAGAATCCATTTAACTTGGTTAGCTTTACGGAAGAAGATTGGAGTTCTTTATATTTTACCTTCAGAGGACAACAATATCAGCAATAATACATGTAAATCGACCTTTTCAATCATCCTATAGCATTCAAATATTAAGATAGGTACAAAAGTGTTTTGTAATCATTAAATATCAATGAAACTTGCATGGTTATAAATGCTATTAACTTATTGTAAATACTTCATCTATTTTACAATCAGAAATATGATATACAATTTTTAAATATCCAAAATACTCTGTTCTATATAGATAATCAATTTTTTTTTTTAAATATTAAAGGTGAGACTTTTGCATAATTTCATTATTTTCTTAAAATTTATATTGTATATATTT